TAAGAATATTTTCATTCGGTGAAAGATGGAATGTTCCATTCAACTCGGCTGTCGCCTCGTTGAATGGAACATTCCATCTTTCACCTCATGAAAATATTCTTACCATTGCACTCATAAACATTCATTATTTGTATATAATATCATGTTTCATAGCCGTTCAAAATGGAAATTAAGCGTTTGTTACAGTAATATTAAAGTACTATCAAATAAGTATACATTCAATCATGGAATATTACAAATTCATAATTTTGATTGGTTCCTCAACCATTGATGTAATCCATGGTAAACAAAAATACAAAACAAAACTACAAATCACGCACTATTTGTCGATATTTTTATCTAAATTAATACAAAAATATAAAATTAACCTCAGCATGTAGTAAGAAATTAGGCTACGCCTTTGTTGACTTTGTTGGCTTGGATATGACAGCCACGTTGTCTTTTTTTAAATAGAAAAAAAATGTGGAATAAGGGGGGGGGGGCATAATTTCAATATTGGGCCTAGTTTAGACTACGGGAGCGGTTTAAACCACAAACCTGGCCAAGTCAGGAATGATTCTTATTTAACCGGCCTTTCTCAATAGCTGATATACAGTACAATTTGCATAATTAATTTAAATTTAATTTCAAATTTGGTTTTCAGCTGCTCCTGTTTATCCCGAGAAGATAAATTGCCCAAATACAAAGCAACAAGTTTTACCGACAGCCCTACCAAGGCCGAACAGCAAGCCCAATGACGAAAAGGAAAAGGTTACTCGGCAAGATCTTCTAAAAAAGAAGCTGAAGATACTAAACCTGCAAGAAGAAATTATTCTTCTTGAAAAGGAAAAATTAGAGTTACAGATACTACATTTGAAAGAGCAAGTTAATGGCACTACATCAATGTCTTTTGATTGAAAATGCTGATGGTTTTTATAACTGTATAATAGTTTTGTTTATATTTTAGGCTTTATTAACATGTCAAACACTTACAGTTATATGAGGTTATTATCAACACTGATCATGTGAGCGTATTGTTTAATAATATAAACATATATATAGACATGCAATTTCCGAAATTGTAAATTTTTCTAAAAACATATTTTAAAAATAGGTACGCAATGTGTACATGTTGCATGCCATCTGAAACCTTGGGCATTCGCTATACACATATAAGCCCCCAAATATACACCCCCCCTGTATAAGCCCCCGGTTTATAAGCCCCCGTGTATAAGCCCCCGTGTATAAGCCCACCGGCCACATGTACTAACGCTCACCTCATTCCAAATATAAGCCCCCGAATATAAGCCCCCTTAAATCTAAGCCCCCTCATTGTCTTTATAGTTTACTATGTTAATCAAAGCGAATTATTAATACATGTTTATTTTCCCGTTTATGACTGACTTGTTTATTACTAAAATAAGCCCCCCCCCCCTTATATAAATCGCTTACGAAATAAGCCCACGCGCGGCTTATAGTCGGAGGTTTACGGTAGGGCATATCACCTTTGGTACAACTGACCTGGAACTTAAAATATTGCTTCAATAGGTTTAATATCAATATATTTATTGAAAAATACCTATTACTTCAAAATAAGAAAACTTAAGATTCTCACGCGAATATGCGTTTTTATGAGCGACTGTTCATCGTTAATTGCCAGAATGCCAGCGACGGTAATAACAAGGTCAAGGTGTCAAGTTTTATCGAAAGCGATATAGCCTATAGATTTCCTTTACAAATTTGGAACTAAATAATGTTATTTCCTGTAAATTTAGCTTTATTGTAACTTTTTGAAGGTCTAAAAACCCGTGGAAGCGGTGAAATTACTGTAATAGATTGAAAATAATTATTAAACTATGAATTTGTCGATGTATATAGATTGCTATTTCGAGATATACTATTGCCAGAGTCGCGATTCAAGTCAGGACTCGAGTCTAGCACTCGATCAAACAGTGCGAAAATAAGGGGAGTTGCCATTACCCAATGTTTTTATTTCATAAAACACCGCGTTACGCACGCTAGCTTTAATGCTTTAATGAAATTATCTAAATGATCTAAATTTTCTACTACTATAGCAAATTAAATGAACCGTTTCGATAATTATATTAAAATATAAAACAACGGTAACTTCTAAAATAAACATTTTAATATTCTAGCTTTCGACTAAGATTCATATCAAATTCGCCGACGAAAGGAAATGCATTGAAGCATTCGAAATACAAAAGAAATCGCATAACATCATGAACGGTTGCATAGGGAGAACAATAACAATTTAGGACCCTTGATTTTAATTTTAATTTGAATTGTTAATTTTTAATGGGAACAATTAGGCTCCACGGAATTCAATAGGCACTTTTATCAAATTTTAATAGGAACAATTATAGACTCTAGAGAATTCAATACTAGGAATTTTTAATTATTGATGTACACTATAAAAATAGGGTGTGTAATATTACTGTATCTACTGAAGAAGCCTTGATCGGCGAAACGTCTAGATATTAAATATAACAACATTTTATGCCTGTCGAAATTCCATCCACAAGGAACCTTCACATATATATAATATATATATATATATATATATATATATATATATATATATATATATATATATATATATATATATATATATATATATATATATATACGTCATGCGAACACTTTCAACATATGAAATCCATTTTAGAACTGTATCGACATGAAGAAAATAACCCAACTCAAACTTGTATAATTTCAGAACTTATATATGTTTACTAATTCTAAGATTATAGACAGATCTAATCATTGGTCCTTATTGCTATTTATGGAAGCAGTTGCCATTAGACGACTTAAACCTGAACTTAATCACGGAACTAAGGCATCAAAAGAACTTGTAATATTTAACTAACCGTTTCTGTACATATCAAATTACTTAATCTTCACTATATATATATATAATTATATATATATATATATATATATATATATATATATATATATATATATATATATATATATATATATATATATATATATATATA